TATATATATATATATATATATATATATATATATATATATATATATATATATATATATATATATATATATATATATATATATATATATATATATATATATATATTAGATCAAAGTCAAAATATAGTTTGTCTATTTCTTGATTTTTCTAAACTTGCTAATGTTACATTCAAATGATTACATATTTTTAAAAAAACCTGTTTGTTTTTTAAAGATTATTTTAAACCCAGTTATTTTATGAAAATATTCATATCAAATTAAAAATCGCCATAATGGATTTTTCTGAAAAAATAAAGTAAAAGTTATGGAATGTGCCAGATTTGTGTTGCCAGATTGATTTATTATGAAGTCTGATTAAGTTAAAGTATTTCAAAGTATTTCGATCATAAAACAGTTATTATGAATAACTCAAAATTTTTTTTTTACTGAAGCTAAGTAAAATTCATTTTAAATCTAAATAAAATCAACTCAATTTAATTTAGTCAAAATAAAATAAATCGACAAAGAACTATACTAGTACAGTCAAAATATTATAGATTTTCAATTGTTTTTGATTTTTTAAACTTGCTAATATTACATTATTATTATTACATTATTTTAAAAATATACCTGTTTTTATGATTATTTTAAAACCCTGTTATTTCATTAAAAACATAACACTATTTTAAATATTATATAGACAAAAATATATTTACTAATTGTCATAACTGCATTGTATGCAGATTTTGTGCAAATACTTTTCCAAAAATTTTTTTTAAAAGACATGGAACACGCTGGATTTCTGTTGCCAGATTGATTTAATATGAAGACTGAAGAAAATAATTATTTCAAAGTATTTTGGTTTTAAAACAGGGTTATGGTTATTATGGAAAACTAAATGCATTTTTTAAAACTACCACAAAGTAGAATACAATTTAAATCAAAATAAAATCAACTCAGTTTATTCATTCATTCATTTTCTTGTCGGTTTAAGCAGGTTGTACACCAGAAGCGCTGCTGGCCACGCAGCGCCATGCATTTTAGAATTCTAAACATAGGTTTCTATCAGGATACACACAACGGCGCCGCAAGTCAGCGGCTGTCGGTGGCGCCCGGCCATGACTCAGGACGTAGTTCATTTTTCAGCCGCGCCACAGAGCACCATCTGATTAGTTTCATGTTAAATATCATTCGAATGTTCGTATTATTAAATGTGTATTATTAAATTATTTTTAAAATGTCCTGTTTTTTAATTATTATTTTAAATCTCTGTCATTTTATCAAAATATAATCCTATATTAAATAGTATATAGACAAAAATTTAAATTTTTTTTATTCATTTTCCTATGGCTAAGTCAGTTTAGTCACCACAGTGGAATGAACCATCAATCTATCCAGCAGATGTTTTACACAGCGTATCCCCTTTCAGCTGCAACCCAGTATTGGGAAACATCAATACACACACCTTCACACACAAACACTACAGCCAATTTACTTTATTTAATTCACCTATAGCGCTGGTCTTTGGACTGTCGGGCAAACCGAAGCACCCAAAGGAAACCCACACGAACAAAGAGAGAACATGCAAACTCCATACAGAAATGCCAACTGAAACAGCCGCGTCTCAAACCAGCGACCTTCTTGCTGTGAGGCGACAGTGCTAACCACTGAGCATTTACATTTACAAATTGACATATATTTTTCTGTATGCAGATTTCTTGCAAATACTCTTACAATAATAATAATAATAAAAAAGCTAAATTAAATTCAAGATGAAAAGCGTAATGTTTTTTTATCAGATTAACACTAGCATTAGTTATTATTTGCTTATTTTCTTTTCTTTTAGTGTTTTTTTTTTTTTTTAACAAAACCTGATTGAGCGCAGCATGTGTGATCCGTCTTTCTGCGTAAAATCAACATTTTTAAAGAAAATTGCTCTGCTGGGTAATTGGAAACTGCGGACGTGTCTCAAATTTCATGTTCTCAGACTTTGTAGGGGGAAACCAGCAGCGCAATTTTCTTACAATAGGCTTCAGTCCACTCTGCAAAAAAAAAAAAAAAAAAGGCAACAGTCGAACAAAAGGCAACACTAAATACCAGAGTGGGATTAGGCAGGATTACTAATAACCAACCACTGGCCTCGGGTCACATGCTTCAGTCATTCAAAATGATTGACAGCTCTTTTCAGCATTACATACTGAGAGACCCTTTTGATCCATTGGTTACTTCAATAAATAAATAAATGGAGAGGCATGTTGTTGCTTAAATTAGGGCTGCACATTATATCATTTTACCATCGATATTGCAATATTCACATCGCAGGATCTGCAACGTGAAGCCTGGATTATAGCTGACCAGGTAAAATTATGGAGTCATTTCAGTTTAACCATAAAAAAGTGAAAGTTTATCAGTTGTGTGTGTTTTTAAGGTCTGACTTTGTAAGTATTTTAAGAGAGTTAAAAGCATTTGGGCACAAGGAATTATTGTTTTTGTAGCTTTAAAAAAAATTATTTTATTTAATTGTACATTTGGTTATTTTATTTCTGTTCCTGAATACTGTTAGGCCCTGTCTACACTGTCTAGTCATGATGCCCAATTCTGATTTGTTGCCTATATCCATATTTTTTGGCTGTCCGTTTACATGTTCCTTTTAATTGTGACCAATATTCGAATTATGTGTTTACACGATACAATTTAAGATGTCGCGCAAGAGTAAAGGCAGGTTCTAGCATCTGCGCCACACTTTCCACGATGGAAGAAATTGTGTTGTTTATAGCTCCGCGAAATATGCAGTTAGCCCACCTTTAAAATGATTTTGAGGCAGAGAAGGAGGAAAAAGGCCGTCATCGTAGCTAGCACCTATAATGTCCTCCACCATCCAGAGGAATTTGTGTGTACGAGAGAGATCTCAGGTCTGGTGGGAGCAAATTGTGGCGACTGACCACGTTCCTACTCCATGTTTCCTCTGCTGTTGTTGTTTACAGTGTCGGCGCCTTCACACACATTCTTCTTTCTACGTCATTACACCGTGGAGAAGTACCACACTGTCGCAAGTTTAATGACATGCAAAATAGAATGCCTTAATAAATGAATTGCATTGTCACATATGCGATTTATATCTGATTTATTTTCACATATTAAGGAGGCCTGAAACCGATCTCTGAATATCCGAATGCATGTGTTTTTTTCGTGTTGACATGGTTGTAACGTTCGCTCGCAGAACGTATTTTGGATAAGTGTGTGCATTCAAGAGCGTGTTTTCTGTACCCCGACCTGACAAGACATTGAGTTCATTCACGGCTCAAAATTCCGCACGTCCAAAAAGTAGTTCACCAACGAATAAAGAGATTAGAGAGTGTTTTTACTGCCACAAAATCGGACATTTAATTTCCGAATGTTTAGTGCTTAAACGAAAAAATCAGCAAGGGCAAATGAAGGAGATCCGATCTGTGTCACATACAGTATGAGCAAAAAAATAGAAATTGGGTCACATTTAACTGGCAATGTAAACGGGGCCTTAGATTTATATTGTTGCTCTGCTGTATTTATCTATGCTGCTAATTAGTCTATAACATTTTGTGTAGATGCACTCCTCTACAAAATCGGCCCATTCAGAATAAATTTCAAAATAGAACCGTTCAAGTTATTTGGTAAAATGCTGCAATATAAATCGTAGATAAAAAAAATATTGCAATGTAGGCTTTTTTCAATATTGTGCAGCCCTAGCTTGAATCATAGTAAATAAAATAAAAACAACATGATTTGATATACTGTGCTCAGCATAAATGAGTACACCCCCTTGAAAATGATTAGTTTTATCTATTCATTAATTCATTTTCTTTTCGGCTTAGTCTCTTTATTAATCCAGGGTTGCCACAGCGGAATGAACCGCCAACTCATCCAGCATGTTTTTTACACAGCGGATGGCCTTCCAGCTGCAACCCATCTCTGGGAAACATCCATACACACCCATTCACACTCATACACAGCAGACAATTTAGCCAACCCAATTCACCTGTACTGCATGTCTTTGACTGTGGGGGAAACCGGAGCACCCGGAGGAAACCCACGCGAACACAGGGAGAACATGCAAACTCCTCAAAGAAACGTCAACTGACACAGCCGAGGCTCGAACCAGCGACCTTCTTGCTGTGAGACTACAACACTACCTATTGCGCCACTGCATCGCCTTATTTTTATCCATTTCTAAGTGAATATAGTCAATATTTTGTGGTGCGTTTAAACAAAACAGGTTTATTAAACAGTTGTGTTCATTAAAAAAAAAAAGAGTTTGGTCACATAACATCCTTAGAATAAAAAATATTATACACTTAAATTTAAATTTTCAACTAATTATAATTTACTTTTTTTTTTATTAATCCTCTTTATTAAAATTTGATGACATTTTTTGATCACACTTTATTTTGATGGTCTGTTTGTTAAATTTAGAAGTTACATTGCATGCCAACTAATTCTCATTAGATTAAAAGTAGACTGTTGAGGTTAGGGTTACTGCAAGTTGACATGTACTTGCAATGTTTCTTATAATCAGTTCAATGTCTGTTGAAGGAGCATATCAACAGACATTAAGCAGACAGTCTACTAATACTCAAATGGACCATCAAAATAAAGTGTTACACATATTTTTCTTTTTTAACTATTGGGTGTACTCACTTTTGGACTGATCTTAGGTTATTTAGTTTGATTAGTTTCAGTTTTTTGGCTTGGTAGTGACTGCCTAATCTAATGTATGTACACAAATATATTCAGTGAAGGATACTGTATACAGTAATTTTAAAAAGAGATCTGTAATCATTTATGCTGAGCACTGTACATGTTAAAATGCAAGAAAAAAGCATTCATTAATGTTTACTTTTGTAAAAAAAAAAAAAAAGAAGAAATTCAGTGTAATATTTATTTGTGCAATATTAAATAAGCCACTTATTCTGATTTGTAGCAAGTAAAATATTACATTTGTTTATGATTTAAAAACTTGATTGATAAGAGTTTTTGCTGTATGAACCATTGTCTTCCATAAATCATGGAAAAATCTTAGCATGTATTAAAAATATTTATTTTATGCTCAGAAAAAAATATTAAATTAAAAAAAGACATTCTATAGGAGAACAAAATGAATCTGTATTACACAGTTTTTATGTGGCAAAAACCTTAAAGGGGTAGTTCACCCAAAAATAAAAAGAAATCTGTCATAACTAACCCACTCTGTTTTAGCTTTTTGGAGGGTTCTCCAGATCAAAAAAGTAGATATTCTGAAGAATGTTAAAAACCTCTAGCCACTGACATCCACAGTAGGAAAAACAAATACTAGTCAATGCTTAAACATTCTTAAAAGCATCTTCCTTTGTGTTCAACAGAACAAAAACTGATTTGAAACAAGTAAATGATGGCATAATGTTTTGGGTGAACTATCCCTTTCAAGGCTCCATCTGAAAATGACCATTCATTGAGTATTTTCATTTTACATATGCATATAAAGCTTGTTATGTCTTCCCGCCCCACTCAGGGGTCAAATTGCCCCTAATCTCAGGGGAAGGTAAACAGCTAAAGCATTGAGAGGCATGAGATGCCATTTGTCAGAAGATCTCAATTCCTAACAATGAGCGAGCTGATTAGCAAACCAACCTTTTCAACAATGATAAGATCTCCAACCTGGATGCCACTGCTTTTCACCTTCACAGTTCCTGCCGAGAGAGATAAAGAGAAAATGAGGCTGATGCATTTCAAAAACAATGTGTGAAGAAAAAAAAAAACTTGGTGCATACAATGATCATTTTAAAGCTTTTAAAAACTTCACCTAAGCTTCTAGAAGCAATGAAAATCTCCAACTAAATAGTAAATGAGTTCCCACAGCTATTTAGAGCATGCACTTATTTATTTATTTATTTATGTTTTAATGCCAGCAGCATTGGCTATATTCATAGCAAAACATATGCTAAATATGCAATATATAACATGCAATAACATAGTTTTTTTCAATAAACCTTCATTATACAAAAGCAACACTGAACAGAGTAATTTACAATCTTATACAGTAGTTTGCTTAATAATAACTAATGTAAAACACCTCCAGAAAACCCATTTAGTTAGATGAATAGATACATAAATAGATGAATAACTCACAGCAAAGCAAAAAGCACGAAAAAAGCATAAGCTTAAAGGCATAGTTCACTCAAAACTGAAAATTAAGTGTTTTTTTATTATTGGTCTGTTCAACAATAAAATATGATATACTGAATGATGGAAAACCAGTTACCATTGACATCCATACCATTTATTTTTCCGGGTTTAGATGTCAATAATTACCAATATCCAATATTCGTTAAAACATCTTTTGTGTTTAACAGAAATAAAAAAAAAAACTCAAATTGGTTTGGAACAAATCAAGAGTGAGTAAATGGCAAGATTTTTCATCTCGCTAAAGATATTCGACGTTTTCAATGACTTTGGGTTAAAAGCAAATCACCACCCAAACATGAATGATAGTAATCAATGTAAAACAAAAACAAAAACACATCTGCTCAACTATTTTCAGGTCCTCAATTTGCATTTTTCGTGGCAAACCTCCAGTGAAGATTCAAATATTTAAGCCTTCTTTAAGTCCCCATTCAGATTTGTCAAAAGCTCTGAGTGCATATGAGATTTCCATTTGTTTTTAGACAATACCCTCCTATGCAGCTTTACAAGAGTGCTGTGAGAACCATCTCTCATTCCATTGAAAATGCACAGCTAAAATTGTTTGGAAAAGGTCAGAGACCTTTAACCCCTGTGGAGACCTTTACCAATGCATATGTAAGACATTAGCACATATGTATATGTGCATTCTTTCTGGAATAAAAGGACACTCACTTTTATTCCACTTAAATTGGATACTATATTGTGGTATTGTCATGATATAAAAATAAATAAACAAAAAAAAAGGTGCATTTGCAACTTTTTCCATCACTCAAGTCAATTCTGAGATCATTTCTTCACAGTTTCGCTTTTTTCCCGTTTTTTTTTTGTTTACATGACATTGATTCTTTTTATTACATTTTATTAACTATTTAAAACTATATTAACTATTTTATAAAATTATTTTCCACAATTCTGATATCACTGGCTCTCCCACAAATCTGACTTCATTTCTCATAGTTCTATTTCTTTTATTTCCTGCAACGAAACTCACAAATCCAAGAAAACAAAGTCACCAAAAAAAAAAAAAAAAAATATATATATATATATATATATATATATATATATATATATATATATATATATATATATATATATATATAT